ATTTTTATTTTTATTTTTTTATTTTTACGATAGTCATACAGAGAGAGAGAGAGAGAGAGAGAGAGAGAGAGAGAGGCAGAGACACAGGCAGAGGGAGAAGCAGGCTCCATGCACCGGGAGCCCGACGTGGGATTCGATCCCGGGTCTCCAGGATCGCGCCCTGGGCCAAAGGCAGGCACCAAACCGCTGTGCCACCCAGGGATCCCTAGTTTTAAATCCCTGTAGATCTCTGACAGGCAATGTTACCGGGCCTTTTTGGGATAGCCAATATTTACCTAAGAATGGTAAAACTACATCTTTAAGCCGATCTGTAATCCATACTTCCCAGGAATTCAGACTGGCCTCGCCTCCTTCCTGTCCCCACTAGTGGACACCCGGGTTTTCCCTTGGCTACACAGGTATTGAAAGAAGTCTGACTCCAGTGGCTCAGGCCTTCCCTCTCTCCCACTGCCCCCCTCAGATCTCTTGCCCTTGAACCTCCAGTGGTTGCTTTCTCTTTACCACCACTCTTCCCCGGCTCATTCCTAAATCCTGTTCTTAGAAAAGACTATTACCAGTCACTTACATGTGTGTATGAATACGCATCAGATCAGTAGCTTAATCTTTCTTTTTTATTTATTTATTCATGAGAGACACAGAGAGGCAGAGACATAGGTAGAGGGAGAAGCAGGCTCCATACAGGGGAGCCTGATGTGGGACTCGATCCCAGGACCGCAGGAACATAACCTGAGCCAAAGGCAGGTGCTCAACCACTGAGCCACCCAGGTGCCCTACAGGAAGGACTACTTGCATTTGAACTCCAAGCCTTGGGCAGCCCGGGTGGCTCAGCGGTTTAGCACCTGCCTTCAGCCCGCGGCGTGATCCTGGAGACCCAGGATCAAGTCCCGTGTCGGGCTCCCTGCATGGAGCCTGCTTCTCCCTCTGCCTATGTCTCTGCCTCTCTCTCTGTGTCTCTCATCAACAAATAAAATATTTAAAATAAAATTTTAACTCTGAGCCTTTTCTGTAAAATAAAAGGCTCTGTCCTGCCCCCCCTTACCCCTCTGCCCGACTACTCCAAAAAGGTAGAGAGAGCAAAGGGAGTCTGAAATCAAGCATCCAAAGTCCACAGCTTTTCCTGAAATGCTTGCCCATCCACATGACCTTGCCAATGCATTTCTTCTCAAGTCTAATAACTTCAATCACTTTTGCTGACATTCAATCATTATTCTTTGCTATGGCAGGAAGTTTCTTGCATCTTCTCCTCTATTTATTCTCTCAACAAACTTTTCTTGAGTATCCACCATATTTTAGATACTTGGATATACCAAGACAGCCTGGACCCTGCCCTCAGACAGCTTGCAGTTGAATTTGAATGCAGGAAACATCACCTTCACCACCAAATTTTTAACACGCAAAAATACCAGTGCCTGGTATGCAGTAGGTATTCAGTAAGTGCTGCTTCCCCTCCGCAGGGCTGCATGATGTGGAAAACACTGGAAATTTTCTAAAATCCTTTCCAGGTGGACAGGAGTGCCAACAGGAGTGGGTGGGGATGGTGGTTTCTATCTTGCTTCAGAATGTCATGATTTGTTTTGGATGTTCCAAATGTCAGGTTGGAGATCATACAAAGGAGAGGGGCTTATTCTAACCAGATCAGGGCTAGAGGCAGCCCAGGACACTGTCTCCCTGGTACACAGCCCCAGACAGTTTGGAAACAAACAGAAACCAATCCAAAGGAGGGAGACTGACAAAAGCAAAAACAAACAAAGGCCAAGAGATGGAAAACTCACGAGGTGGGGTAGGGTAGAAAGGAGGGGAGCAAGGAGAGAGATGGGTAGGGGCTGTGGAGGGGGCTGAGGAAGGGCATGGTCCTGGGGTTTTGTGTGTGAGAGAAGCTGAACCCAGATCCCCACAACCAGCCCAGGAATCACCATGGCAACGGGGAGGGTGAGTGCAGCTGATTTCAAGCCAACACAAACCTCCAGGGCTTAGTGGCAGGAATGGGCTCAGATGCATGGGGTCATGTTCTAAAGAAAAAGATCTGAATTGGTCTTTTTAAGCCACAAACTGCTTACCCACTCCTGGTTTTGTAGGCAGTCGGTGTTTAATGAAATGAATTAATCAGAAACAACAGTGAACCACATTCCTACTCCAGGTCTCTCTCACATACACATGTACACTTATCAAAAGCCCACAGAGTAAAACCTCTTCCCTTTGTGGGGCGGAAACTGATGGCTCATTGATTCTTGGCACTTTCTAGAAGCAGGGACCTAACCTGTGGGAATTCTATTTGCCACCCCTCCCCCAAGCTCCCCCCCTCCCATAGCGGCATTAATGACAGAGGGTTGATGGGGTTACTTCACAAGACCAAGGCAGCTGGGGCTCCCATGTGAGGTGGCTCCAACTGAACCACCATCTGGTCTCCTCTGCCATCAGTGGCCCAGAAGGGATTTGTCAGCAAGCAGACTGCTTCTTGGGGTGCCGGGGCGGCTCAGTCAGTTAAGCATCTGCCTTCCGCTCAGGTCATGATCCTGGGGTCCTGGGATGGAACCCTGAATTGGACCCCCTGCTCAGTAGGGAGCCTGCTGCTCCTTCTCCCTCTGCGGTTCCCCCTCCTTGTGGTTGCTTTCTCTCTCCATCAAATAAATAAAATCTTAAAAAAAAAAAAAAAAGGAGACTGCTTCTTCCTGCTCCACGAAAATGTGTAACAGAGCCCCCTGAGCTCCCAAACCCCAGCACCCAAACTAGCTCTTTCTTGGAGCTGACTGGCCTATGCGGTCTGCCTTAGATGTCAGGTTGGAGCTAAACAGAACTATAAATCTTTGTCTCCTGCCTACTTCTCCATTCCCAGCGACCCAGGGATCTCACGCTGTTCCCCATTACCCTAGTCCAGGGTTGACTCATCCATTGGGCATTGTAGGCACAGGGCCTAGAGTCCGCATTATAAAAAATGTTTTAATTTCATTTAAAATCCAAAGGAAAAAACAAGCTTGTAAGCAGAAGCAAACATTTTAGTATTTAATAATAATATATTCATCTTTATACCAACACAATCATAAAACATAATCTTTTTTTAAAGATTTTATTCATTCGAGAAAGAGAGGGAGCACAAGCAGAGGGAGAGGGACAAGTAGACTCTCCGTGACCCCAAGACCCTGATATCATGCCCCAAGCCAAAGTCAGATGCTTAACCGACTGAGCCACCCAGGCACCCCATAAAATATAATTTTAGATATTTTTATTGAGGAAGGAGTCCAGGAAGGCAAAAAAAAAGCACACTAAGTCATAAAGGAGTTCTGTCCTAATCTTCCTTTCTGCTCATTTCAACTGTCCAGACTCCAGGGATTTCCTTTGCCATATCAAAATGTACCTGTCCACTAGCCTAGGAGGTCCTGGAGGATAGGACCGTTCTTTATTCACCCTCATGTCCCCATCATAAGCTCTATGCCTGCTCCACGCTCATTATCAGGTATTGCTCTGACCCTGCTCCACACTGAGGGTGCGGGTGGAGAGCAGAAACCTCAGGGAAAAAAAAGGCTAGGTTTTAAATAGATATTGCCTGAGAATTGCTGGAAACTGTGCACATTTCACATCTATGCAGTCGGACTTTGTCCACATCCCCTGGGGCTGAGCTCTGATGAAACTGTTCCTACCAAATTCACCAACAATCTCCAACTCAGTAAATCCAGTGGATACTCTGAAGTATAATGTTGACTGCTCGGCAGCATTTGATGCTGCTCACCAAGACTTCCCTTTTGGCTTCCATGACACCTTGCTGTTTGGGTTTCCTCCTATTTCCCTGGACATTGCTGCTAGGTCTCCTCTGCATGCTCATTCCCTCCGCAGGGCCATTAAAAACTAATAACAGCAACTGAAATACACCAGCTATATCTGCTCTGTGACGAGCCCTACTGTGTCAGTTCTTTTAATCCTCAAAATCACACTAACTCTATTCTGCAACCACGAGCCAAAGTGATCTTACCGGGAACCAAACCCGATCCTATATTTCCTTCCTTAAAACTTAATGGCTCTCCTTGGCCCATAGCGTTGGCAGTCTTTCATGATCTAGCCCCTACCCACCTCTCCAGCCCCATTTCTCACCACAGCCTCTTCCTGAGTGACTTTCCTGCCTTTAGCTTCTCGGGCAAGAACTCTAGGTCTTCACATGTGCTGCTCCCACTGCCTGAAACACTCTTCCTCCATCTCTTAGCCTAACATAGATGGCTCTGTCAGGTGTCAGTTGAACATCACCTCTTCTAGAAGGCCAGGGGAGCCGTCGAGGATGATGGTTATGAGAACAGCTCCCAGCTCTATACCACTTCCAATGACCAGGTAGCCTTGGGCAAGCTATGAAACTCTCCGGGACTTCAATATCTCATCTGTTGTCAGGATGAAAGAAATCAGTACCCACAGGTGTTCTGCAGTGCTACATGTTGACTGTTGTATTTCCTGACCCCACACTATGTTAGGCTCCTTGCCAAGTATTTCCCAAAACTCCTTTATAATACCATATAATCCAGGGATCCCTGGGTGGCTCAGCAGTTTAGCACCTGCCTTTGGCCCAGGGTGCGATCCTGGAGTCCCAGGATCGAGTCCCACGTCAGGCTCCCAGCATGGAGCCTGCTTCTCCCTCTGCCTGTCTCTCTCTCTCTCTCTCTCTCTCTGTCTATCATGAATAAATAAAATTTTTTTAAAAAAATAATAATACCATATAATCCAACCTCATTCCTGAGAATGCCTATCTATATTCCCACCTTGCCAGACCTCAACTCCAGGAGGGCAGGGGCCTTTTGACCTTGGTCTCGGGAGCTCCTATTTCTAACGCTTGGCACATGGCAGGTGTTCATATGTGTTCAATCAATGATGAGAAATCTAATACCTACTAGATATCCAGGTGATACATGCTGTTCAGCAAACCACTACCTCGAACAAGGAAGGGAAGCGAGGATAAGATTTTTAGTAACAGGGCATACTCGGCAGACTCTCGCTAAGGCTGAAAGCAGTCAGAGACAACCTACTAATTAGGAAAATACCTTTATTATTTTTGAAATGTTGCAATATTCGATGTAAAAACCATGATAGTGGCTTTTTCACAACTTCACAGATTATAGAAAACTGACTTTCTACCTTCTTTACAGAAATCTACCCCCCAAATCAGACAGGGCTCCATGATGGCTGAAACAGGGCAGGAAGGAAGGGCAGAGAGAATCAGCAAGAACTGCAGCTCCCTGGGTAGCCAGAGGTGCTCTCTGTACTTTTAAAGCCCAGGTTGAGTTCCCAAGACCTGTGAGCCCTCCAAGGGAGGCTAAGTCCATGCACAATTGTGGCAGACTGAGGTAGGCCTCTGTCCTGAAGGCTGGCAGCCCACAGAAGGCCTGTGGCGTGGCATTTGTGGCTGGGAGGCCACAATCAAGGCAGCTTCGTGAGAACGAGAACAGGAGGCAGGCCTGTGGCTCAAATCCCTTCCTCTAAAACACAGCCAGGAAAGAGACTACAGACACTGGCCAAAGAGTGCTCTAGGTTTAGAAATCTCCCCTTTTACTCAGCTCCCAAAGATGAATTTGTCAAATGGCTAATTAAAAACAAAACAACAAAAAAACAGAAAAACAAACACGTGTTTCCATTTCAGCTATAATCAGCAGTTGGTGATTTTTAGAAAAAGATGACTTGAGTTGCTCATTGTTAAGATTGTCTTTTTTACCAGGTCTCTGGCTCCTTCCTTTCTCATCCATGTTAGGGCAAGGAGCTGACAGCTACAGCAGAAGGCTGTTTGTGGATCTGAGAAAACTGTGAAAATGTTTTGCACTCACATACAAAGGCTGATGGAATTCAGAAACGATCCCACCGATTTTTATGAGAAACATGACTGTTCCTCTTGGGTGTCTCAAGTCAAAACAAGGCAACCGCCTAGTGATTTACAGTCCCCACTACACATATTCCACCTTCCAGAAGGCATTAGAGAAAGGGCCAATGTCTGCCAGGAGTGATTGTAAACATACCACGGACAGCCCAGACACTTTGTTTTTAAATGCAGCAGGACTTTTTCCTTTGGCCCTGGCAGAAGAGCCAACTCCCTGGGACTGCTTAGGAAGGAGCAGACAGGAGGATTCCCCCAAAACCTCAGAGTGAGGGGCTCGTAGTCCCCGCTGACCAGAGTGTGGCTGGGAGCATCATCAAAGGCAATCAATACATTTATGGCATATGAAAATTGTCCTGCGGTTCCCAACTGGCCCCCAGGCTCCACCTGGTTAGATGTGAGGCACGGGAGGTACAGGACAGCTTGTCATAAGGCACATGGTTGAGGTGGCCCCCACACCAAGCCCAGAGAGATTATCTCTTTGCACGGTTCCAAAAGTGTTGGAAAGCTGAGGAATTGATGGCACTCACAATAAGCAGCAGCAGCAGATACAGCGATAGCATGACCGTAAACCAATGGCTGGAAAACCAGGACAGCTGGCTTGAAGCCCTGCCGGAGGGAGAAAAAAGTGACGTTGGCAAGAAGTGAAAAACATTTTTTTTTTAAAGTGTATGTAACAACTTCTGGCTCAAAAAAGATGAAATGATGAATTTCATCCTGTGAGTGAGCCATGAAATGAAGCTTCATGCGTGCTCCTTTGCTCAAAAAAATCTGGGGCTATTTGCCCTGGCGCCGACACAGCTTTCACCAGAACATTTTCTAAATGTACAAAGGCAGCTATGCAATGAGCTCATCCTCAACTTCTCTTTCACGGCTCCTCCTGTACCTTTTACAACCCGTCTTTTCTCAGGCGAGACTTTGGTATCTAGAAGAATGACCCTGCTCAGGGTGTCTGCCCAGATGGCAGCAGGTGGCCGATTATTTAGCAAAAGTCTTTTTCACTTTTAGACATGTAGATGTGAGTCCGAGCTGGGGAAATCCTCTTTGGCCCATTGGGAGATGATCTAAACTGTCCAAGTGTGCACTGAAGAGACACTCCAGGGAGAAGTGGGAAAGGAATGGAATTTTCAAGTAGAAAAAGCCAGATGGTTTTAAACCAAAGGATAATGTTCCTCACTTAGGAACCTCATACAAATTTCCCCAATTTGGGGGATGGGGGGGTATTACTGGTTTATGAAATCTTGAAGCATGGAAACCACAAGCAGGAGTGGGCAGTATTAAAAGTGACCCTCTTTCCTATCCTACCTGTTCATCTGCTGCTCGTCCCCATCAGGAGCTCTGTCATGGACCCCAACAATGTGACAGGATCTCAAAGTGACCCTTGACCCTGGAGAACCCCGCATATACCCCCACTACCACCCTGCTGAGATGGGATGAGGAATCCACCATGGTTCTTAGGAGCTGAAAGCTCTCATCTCCTGTTGAGTTCAATGTCCTCATTTTAGAGCTCAAGATGAAGCATCTCAGGTGCAGAGAGGAGCAGGTGGTAGATCAACAGCCACTGCAGGAAGTGACCACGCAGGGCAGCACACCTTCCTAGTTAGCGTCCAGGGACCACCCTGCCTCTCAGCTTCACCCCAATCAGGAGCCCAGGTGGCAGAGGGGCCTCATGGTCTGGGGCAGCCAATTTGGCTTCGTTCAGTCCCGCATGTCATTTGTGTTTACAAGTCTCTATCTTCTTCACTAGAACATACAGTCCTCTTAGGGCCAGGACCACATCTCATCAGCCCCATCTTCCTCACCCCTCACCGTGGGTAGCTCAAGTATAAGGCTGGGGGCAAGGGAAGCTGATAACTAAGAACCCAATACTCTGATGCAGCATTTGGGTGTTATCCTGGGCCTCTCACAGGGACTGTCCTCCTTACCTGCTGGGTTGCTTCTGTGAGTACACCAGCAGGTACCTCACTCGCAGAAGCTGGTTATTGGTGACCACAAAGTACTTTGGAGGGACATCTCCCCCTTCACTGTGTTTGATTCTCGCTCTCCTGCGATCTATCTCCTTGGAATCTGAATAAGGAGAATTAAGGACAGCTTCACTGAGGGGGAGTGGAAATTGAATAATAAAAGAAGTAAATTATGAATAGAAACAGGTCGAGCCTTCTGGTAGTGAGGATGGAGAAGCCCCAGCAGGCTGGGGAATGCCCTGTGTATATGACACTAAAAAACAGGAGAATCTGACGAACCAGAGGAGGGGGAAAAAAAAGAATAAGAAAATTAAAAAGATACAAAGGGGAAGAAACTGAGTTGGAAAAGCAGAGGGAAGAAGCGGATTGAAGGTCATAACAAAAAAATTATCTAGGCTTAGGCACAGGATTTGACCTAAAACAAGCCTCTTAGCAGGCATTTTAAATTAACCATCCGGATTTTTGAACTTCTTAGAACTCTTACGTTCTGCCCTTTGTACCAAGACTTGTCTAAAAAACAAAACAAGAAACCCAAAACTTTTTTTTTTTTTAAACATGATGAAGCTTTACAAAAACAAACAAACAAAGCCAAAGCTGGGTGACAGCAGACACTGCAAGGTTTTGTTCTGATGTTTAATGTCACAGTTTGCAAACTTCCTAAGAATTATAAATGCAAATATTCATGCTGCCTGGTTTAGAAGGGTGGCGTCAGACCTGGGCCCGGTCCTCAGGATTCCAGTTGTTTTACATTAGAGGCCAGGAACAGACAGTTTTCTCAATTCTCCTTTTCTCAGTGGAAGCAACAGGTCAGTTCTGGAGACTAGAATAACAGTTCCGTGACTCTTCTGCCTTGGAGGGCAAAACAGTAAGGTGCACAAGCCAGAGACTCTAAGGAACGTATCAGAGGAGTGGATGGAGGTGGCTAGCTAGTCCTCTGCTCCCCAGAGAGTGGGGGGGGGGGGGGGGGGCGGAGTCGGGGATTTACACCCCGTGGTTTTAGTTACCCTTCACATCCTCTGGGGGCTCGGCCACTCACCAGAGTAGCCTGGAGGGACAGGGTCTGGATCCTGGTCTTTAGCTTCAGTTTAGCAAATACCTACTGAATGTCAAGTCAGGCTCTATGCAAATACCAGGAGACCAACAGTGACTGAAACCCAGCTTCAGCCTTCAAGGAGCCCACACTCTAGCCTCACACACTCACTTTTAACTATTGAAACACTTCCTCCCTAGAGCTTTCCTTAAGCGCTCAGACCAACGATGATTTATTGCACCTTCCTCTGAGCTGCCCCTGTGGACCCCATCAGCCCTGTCACCTGGCACTCTCTGCCCACCACTTTGTAGTAAATGTATCTTTTCCATCATTTGTCCCTAAGGAGACTGCTCACTCCTTGAAGACAAGCTCCTGTCCCACATTGCTTTGGACCTGGTCCATACCTTAGTAGGCAATGAGTGCTCCACCCAACAGATGGGTCAATGGCAAGAGCCCGTACACTTAAGAGGCCTGCAGCCCAGGTCCAGGCCAAGTGCTCACTCACCCTTCTTCTTCATTTGGCACTTGACATCTGGATGATCAATGACTTCACACACAGCCACGCAGCTGAGGATGGGGCCAAGGAGGCTACGCTGCCATCCGAGGCCATGAGGGCTATAAATGAGGGCCAGGCTCAAGTCACTGGTGAGGTAGGTCCCTTCCCCAAACAAGGATGTCTGGAATGCCAAGGGTTGACAGAAAAGAAACAAGGCTGGGTGAATGTAAAGTTGGCACAGCAAGATGACATAGGTCTTTCTTCAACAGAACTATAAACACAAAATTCTCAAGCCTTCCTTTCCCCTGGTAAAAGGCATATGATATCGTCATTCTATGACATCATCACAGAGTTATAATTAAACACATTTCTATCTGATAACAGTTTAGCTTTAGATTGTGGATGTGACTGCCTCGCCTAGCAAATTAGTGGTCAAGGTTAAGTGAGAAAAACATAGGTATGAGAGTCCCAACAGACCTGAGTTTGAATTCAGACTACACCTCCTACAAGCTGGCAAGTTATATCAACTCTCTGGGTCTCAGTTTCTACATCTGCAAAATGATGATGATAGTATCTCCTTCACAACATCATAGATGAGGATTCAATGAGATATGTACCTAAAGCCTTAAGCAGGCCACCTGGCACATGAGAGGAGTAGGCCCTTATGTGGTATTATGTCAATAATTCCTTTTAAATGAATGCATTTAGCATGGTTATACTGATGGTCCTGCAGAAACAAAGTCACACACTTATGCACAGGGAGGGGGATCACACCTGAGGGTGGAAGTAATCTAAATCATTATGCAGAGAAGAAATGAATCTTAGCCCAGAAACCATAACAAGTTAGGCCTCTACTAGGAGCAGAGTAAGTTTTACTCTTTGTATTTTTTTTTCTCTTTGTATTGCTGCCAACCAAGAAAATGTCCAAAATCTAGGAGGCAGGTCCCTAGTGACAGGTGCTAACTTCAGGTCCTCCATGAGGAAGCATGCCAGGTGAGAGAGAATGAGCCCAGGTGACATACCTGCAAGCTGAGGCTACAGCAGGCATAGCAAACACATCTTCTGCCCATGGTAGACCATGTCAAAGGGTCGAATAATCAACCATGATGGCCAACATAAAAATATCAATTGTGGCACTCATTCATATTGACTCCAAATCCTTCTCCACATTTCAGGTAGCTGCTACCAATGGATGGAATTTGAAATTCAAGTTGAAATTCAATGGCTATGTTTGGGCTGCAGTATCAGTATCTGGTTTAGGTTGGGTTTTTTTTTGTGTGTGTGTGGGGTTATATGCAAAATTTTATTTACCAGGGTTTAACTACATAACACCAGTTCACATAGTTTAAATTTCAGTTATAGTATATTAACTTTGGGTAATGGTATAAAGTTTGAACTCTGCTGCTTGCTCTTCAATTTACATACCACTTACACAAATAACAGATGCAAATTACTATTTGTAATCAATCATCACTCTTTTTTCCAAGTCTGTCAGTGATTGGTCACCATACATTTCTTCATTTCTCAGGCAGTGAAGCATGTAGTTGTGTTGCTTCGATATCTGTTGAGTGAACTCAAACTGCTCAGTGAACATTTAACCTTGAGAAATGAGAGAGATGTCCTATTCAGTGGCACCAGGCTTCCAAAATTCTAAGCTGTTTCAGTGAAGTTGAGGGATAATGAAGAAAGCCTTTGTTTTACCTTTGGGAAGCCCCTTGTCAAGTTAGGCAATATCCCCATGTCTCAAAAGCTGACACAGAACTTCTCCAAGAACAGTGAATGTCATCTGATCTGCTTCCATACCCATTGTAAGCTCTGGCTGCCACATATATACAGACCCCCTAGACTCAAGAATCTCAAGCCAGATTGCTATGAGCAGAGGTGCACAAGAGTGGGAAAGGTGGGCTATCTGTACCATGAAAACAATCTCACAGCTTCAACTTCAAGCAAGCCCCTCACTAAAAACCCAGAGAGAAGTGGCCAACAGAGCATCCACTTTACCAAAGGACTCTGACAATGTGCCTCTAAGTGGCAACTCCCTGAACAATGAAGTGAAGGTCTGCTGTACAAGATTGTAATCTGAAGGCAGCTTCTCCCGGCCAGCTCTGCTGCGAAGCAGAGGCCTCCTGGATTCCAGTAGCCTGGCCATAATAATAAGCTGAGAGCCAGTATAAACAAGCCCATCATCCTACGTAAAACCCAACTGCACTAATAAGCTACAGCAGTGTTGGAAAAGTTTCTTTAGCCCCAGGGCTGCATCAGCCACAACTGAGCCCATGGTTCACAGAACCAGCCCCTCCGATGAGGCAGATGCTGGCATGACTGGAGGAAGGCCACAGCCCTTCCACTACCCCAGATTCCCTCTCCATCCACCTATGAAAACAACCATTACTTTCTTGGAGTCCAGTATAGGAAGAGGCCTTTGCATATATGAATTGTTTAAATCCTTTCAGCACACCAGAAGGTGGGTGATGACATCCTATTTTACAGATGGGGACACTGAGTCTCAGAGAGGTTAAGTAAACTTGCCCAGGACACAGAGCTGTTAAGGTGGTCTTTATGGCTATCAGAACCTTTCCTCCTATACCTCACTAAGGAGCAAAACACAGCCAGCAGAGATGGGTGGTTGACACTGTTTTGACCTTTAAAAAAGGAAGAAAGAACCTCTCTTTGGAGCATTCCTCAATTTTTCCTAGGACTGCCTCTGTGGGACTGTCTCCTCCTAGACAAGAGCTTCTCAAACTTCAACGTGCATACAAGTCACCTGGTGAGCCTGTTAAAATGATCTCTGACCAGGTGGTCTGGGGTGTGCCTGACATTCCACATGTCCAACATGTTCTCAGGTGACGTGGATGCTGCTGGGCCAGAGACCATGCTGAGTCGCGAGGACTGGCTACACACTGAAATCACCTGGCTATTAAAGCATACTGTTAACTGGGCCCCACATCCAGAGATCCTCATTAACTGGTCTGAGGATGCAGTCAAGCATTGGGATCTTTAAAAGCTCCCCAAGTGATTCCAAATGGGCGGCTAAGGCTGGGAACCTCTTTAAATCAGTACTTCTCAAACTGTAATCAGTATGGGAATCACCCATCCGGAGATCTTGTTACAATGCAGGTCCTAATTCGGAAGGTCTAGGGTGGGCTCAAGAATCTGGCTTTTCTTGGGTTCCCAGATGCTGGTGTTGCTATTGGTCTACAGATCACACCTGAGTGGCAAGGCCTTTGCGAACCTCTCCCCCAGCTCCCACCAGCAAATTCCCCAGGGTTCTGACCCCCTTGTCAGCAGGCTTAGGCCCCACCTTGTTCAGGTGGCAATGCAGCCCATTGTGGATGATGGAATGGAAGTTTTCGAGGCGGCTCCCGTGGAAGGCGTAGATTAGGTCCCGTTCTCCTTTGGTCTCATAAAATTTGGCGTTCGCTGGGTTGGAGTATTCAATTTCAAACAGGAAGTCCGGCACCGGGACAGGCGTGTGAGGGGCACCAGTCAGCTTTTGGATCTTTTCGAACTTGAAAACATGTAGGAAGTCAGTTTTATTTGGGAAGGTAGTTAGGATGTGCTGCCAAAATGGCCTCCTAAAGCTTTGGGCTTACCGCCTATGGGGAAAGCTTATAGCTCAAGACTGCTTTCCTCAAATACTGTTTCTCCCTACACCAGGCTGCGAAGTATGGACTACTCTCCTCCTCCTAACTAAAGACCATCTCTAATTTTCATAACACTGTCACATCAAAAAAAAAAAAAAAAAAAAAAAAAACACTGTCACATCCATTTCCTGCATTTCATCTTTACAATAATCTCAGGAGGTAAACGGGTGTGATTAATTGCAAAAATGGGCAAAACCTTATCCCCCACCCCCAATCCTTGTGACTCTGTAGGCAGAATTCCAGGACTCCTATCAAGAAGTGGCATCTACTTCTCCACCCCTTGAATCTGGGCTTGGCCATGTGACTTGCTTTGGCCCTGGCAATTATATACCAAACAGAAACTTGAAAGGGCTTGCCCTTTACCATCTGTTGCTGGGAACCCTTCCTTGCCATGGGTGCGAGCCTTGCTAGCCCTCAGTAGGATAGAGGAGGAGGGCCCCATCCACAGCAGCCATCCCAGCTAAAGACCCAGACATGTGAGGTTACCCTAGATCATCCAGCCCCATCCAGAAGAACAACCCAACTAACCCATCGAATCATGGGAGACAATCAATGTTGTTTTAAGCCTCTAGGTTTTGGGGATGGTTTGTTATGCAACAAAACCTAATTGATACAGAAGAGTAAGCTCTTCCTGAAGGGCAATAATCCTTTTCAGGGCAGAGAACACATCATTTCATTGATTTCTAAATACTAAGTCATAGACCAAAGCCAGTCTGTGATGAAGTTTTCTCTGGGTTGTGATTAAATGAGAAAAATAAGGACCATGTAACAGATATGTTTATATTGCTGTAAGCTTGCCTTGACCTTTTGTCATTTTTTTGAGGCCATCCTCCTTTTTTGGATTAAAACATCCTTTTATAAAGTGATGATACATGGAAGCCCAATAATATCCTTACTTGGGCACAATAAAAAGCTGATAATTCTCACTCCATATGGTGCCAACACTCCATATTTTAATGAAATTTAACTTATTTATAATTAAAAGTCAAAAAGCCACTGCCTTATCTACAACTACTTTACCTATAGTACCCAACATCTAGTAGATATTTGATACCCATATGAGGAATGAATAAATCTCAATTTAGCAGATGACAAAAGTGAAACCCAGAGATAACCTAGGAGTTAGCAACCCAGCCTGGACTTGTATATGGATCTTCTGACTCCCACTGCAGGGTTCTCTGTGTTACTGACTCTTTACCAACACAGGTGGACATCCCTAGACACCAGAATCCGAGATACCAAATTCTATGCCAGTTGAGGAGGATTTTTGTGTTTAGCAGGAGCTTGTAAAATGAAATGCTCTTAAATTTAAATTGATAAAGTATGGGGCACCTGGGTGGCTCAGTCAGTTAAGCATCTGCTTTCATTCAGGTCATGATCCCAAGGTCCTGGTACTGAGGCCTGCGTTGGGCTCCCTGCTCAGTGGGAAGCCTGCTTCTCTCTCTCCCTCTGTCTGCTGCTCTGTCTACTTGTGTCAAATAAATAATTAAAATATTTAAAAATAAAACTGATAAAGAATACAGATAAACACTGCTGTTCAGAGGAAAGAGCACCAGATCTGGAATCTGCCATCTATGCTCTGGTCCTTGTCATCCCAGCCAATGCCCAGGAGATCCTGCCCAGGCAAGGGAAACTAGATTATGGAATGCCTGATCTGCGCCAGAAACTATACTGGGGTTACATACTTTCTACCATAGCTCCCCTCTCTCGTAACTATTAATATTCTCAATTCACAAATAGGGAAAAGGAGACTTAATACTGGATGAAAGTGGGATTTGATGTCAGAGCCTGAAGTTTTCCATGAACCAGGTTCTGCCTCTCTGTTTCCCGACAACTGGATGAGGCCAGTGTTTCTTGAGGTGTGGTCAAGGGCCCACCCTTGTTGAATTTACCTGGGGTGCTTGTGATACCCAACATTTCCCGAGCCCTTAGTACATGCTCTAAGGCATTCTTCTAGATGGGAAAATTCATTCAATTCTCACAGCCAGTTCCCTGGTGGAAGTATACTATTACTACCCCCATTTTATAGATGAGGAGACTGAGACATGGAAATGCACCCGGTGGCCGGCTCTAGGTTTATGGTAACAAGGAGAACACAGCCTAGCACCGCCACATGCAAGTTCCTGAGCCAACTCCAGACACAGAATCAGCATCTCTCAGGGCAAGGTCCAGGAACCTGCATTTTCAGCAAGCTTCCCAGGCCATTCTGGTGAACAAGGAGGTCCCAGAGCCCGTCAGCCCTGGGAGTCTGCTGTCAAGTCTCACCTCTGACTTCCCTGCACTGTGGACTGTCAGGACCTTTGAGGATAAAATCCAGCTCACCAGGTCCCTGGCCCGTAGGTCTTTGTCTCCAGAGGATTGGAGAAGTTCGTTCAGGTTGGGTAACTTGCTGGCATCTGCAAGCTGAAGTGAGGAAAAACCTCCATTAGTAAGGATCCTAAACAAGATGATAACCAGGCGCCCTCTCATGGTGAGGCCGGCAAACCGCAGGTCTTTCGTGTTTCAAGTAATTTCTTAAGAAAGAAAGGTACAGGGCAGCCCCAGTGGATCAGCGGTTTAGCGCCGCCTGCAGGCCAGGACCTGATCCTGGAGACCCGGGATCGAGTCCCATGTTGGGCTCCCTGCGTGGAGCCTGCTTCTGCCTCTGGCTCGCTCTGTGTCTCTCATTAGTAAATAAAATAATAAAATCTTAAAAAAAAAAAAAAAAAGAGAGAGAGAGAGACAGGTACAGGTCTGCGATCCCCTTTCCAAATACCAAACTCCAAAAGCTCTGAATGCTAAAACACTGTTTCATAATTCATTTGGTATAAAACCTGAGCTGATGTGAGGTTAGTTTAATCTTTACTCATCCCACTTCCTGTTACTACTGATGTGATACCTTTTGCTGCAGTAATATTAATGTCTGATGATGGGAAACCACTTCACTGGAGGTGTTACCAAACAGGTGATATACACAAGCTTGGGTAAAGAGTTAAGGAAGTCTTTTCCCCTCAACATGAGTTAACACCCTGTTAACCTGTCTCCTGGAGACCAGATGAAAGTAGTGTGGTGGGGATCCCTGGGTGGCTCAGGGGTTGAGCACCTGCCTTTGGCCCAGGGCGTGATCCTGGAGACCCAGGATCGAGTCCCACGTCGGGCTCCCTGCATGGAGCCTGCTTCTCGCTCTGCCTGTGTCTCTGCCTCTCTCTCTCTCTCTGTGTCTCCCATGAATAAATAAATAAAATCTTAAAAAAAAAAAGTAGTGTGGCAACTATATATATAACCAGGCAACATCTGCTTATGGTCAAAATGACCCACAATGGTAAACTGTACATGGATGGGAAGAAACTATGAGTGGGGAGTTCACGGCTTGGGGTTTCCCTAAGTGTGGTGACTTTTTGTGAGGACCCCAGCAACTATGTCTATGGTGTTCTCACAAGGGAGCCCAGCGTCTGTGGCACATGGGGCTTCATCAAGGCCAGACCAGGTCCCGCACCCACGCATTCATCTCCTTACTCCTCAGCCACCATTCTCAGGGGGCAAAGACAAACTCCTGGACCTCTGTGTGAGCCCTTGCAGGGACTTGTGCAGGAACAGACACCTGAAGCTGCCCTGTTGTGAGCTGTGATGTGTCTGAGAGCCTTCGGTCTCGGCTGCCGCCTTGTGTGAATGGCGTCAACGGATTAGTTGTATGGGTATAGCACATCATTACCTTTGTAAAATAGGACAGAATCTGAATTTTGAAACACATTTGGTGCTGAGAATTCTGATAAGAGACAGAGGACCCCAATTTACAGATAGCTACAAGGTATCTATAGCTTTTGCCCAGAAATTATACCTCGCTAGAAGCCCAATCTGTCCAGTACGGCATTTAAGACACTGCAGACTGGTGCGGTGTGAACATGGCTTGGGTTGTACCACCTCCAAGCTTTCCTCATTCAGTCCCCTGGGATGCGCCTTCCCGCACCTCTCCTAACCCAGGCACCCTTCTCCTACACCACCTACAACTCTCAGTTCCAGTACTCCCTTCTCAGTATGGCCAAGACTCCTAAAGGCCAAGGACTGTCTGGTGTTTTCCTAATTCTCTTTCCTGGATGTAGAGGAAAGAACAGAGAGATCCGAGTTTGAATGCTTGCTCCTTAGGGAAAGTACTGGACTTGGCTGCACCTCAGTCTCCTCTAACACGGAACCCCAGCTGCTTCCACATCGAATTGCTGAGAAGATAAAAGAAGGTCACATTTCTTTCACATTTATGTGTCCATTTCTTTTCTTTTCCATTTTTTCTAGAAAGTTGGTTGTTGCTAACCTTGGGGGTTTTATTTACTAACTTGGTAGCTGAAATTCAGAAACATCTCAAGACTACTTTATTCCTATCTCTATTTTCAAAGATTCGATCACTAGCGTTGAACATCTAAATAGAGCTTTCTACATGCCTTGTGGAGCATCAATGAAGATCCAGTTAAAAAACCATGGATGGGGTGCCTGGGTAGCTCAGTTGGTTAAGCAATCAACTCTTGATTTCGGCTCAGGTTATGATCTTAGGGTCCTAGGATCCAGCTCCACACTCAGTGGGCAGTCTGCTCGGGGATTCTCTCCCTTTTCCCCTGCTCTCATGCACACACTCTCTAAAATAAATCTTTAAAGATACACACATACATGCCATGGATGTGTGGATGTGTAAATGCTCCACGAATATGGGACTACACAGTGGGGAAGGCAGCAAGGTAAAGAATTATAACTGAAACCTATTCATTGCCATTAACAGAAGTGGATACTAACTACTAAGAGGACCAGGAGGGACTTTTGCTTGGCAGGGCCTGGGGGGGATAGGTGATCGGGGCCTGGGGGGATAGGGGATGGTCAGGAAAGCCTCACAGAGGAGGTGCTGTGTGACCTGGGCTTGATATGCAAAGGTGCAGAAGCAGGAAGATGCAGCCTGTAGTCAGGGAAGAAAAAGGCAACATGGTGAAGTATGCAGGCTCTTTTCCTAGGCAGCCTGGGTCTTAACCAGGGCTCTTACGTCCCCACTAGTTGTGTGACCTGAGTGAGTTGTCTGACCTTGAATCCTGTGTCTGTTTCCTCAAATACATAATTTGGATAATAGTAGCCACTTCATGAGATCCCTGTGAAGGTTAATCAGGTTAAACAAACATGGTGTTTAGGACAATAGGAGGATCTGAGTACTCTACTGTTAGTGGGATTGCCACAACTGTCATCATTAACCGTAGGAGGTTCCAGGTGGCTGGAGCTTAGAGTGTGAGGGAGGGGTCGCCAGTCTGTGAAAACCCTTGACGTACCTTGGGGACCTTCAGCTTTGTTCTGTAGGCTATAGAGAGCCACGGAGGGCACCCTCTGGTGGCCATCCTGCCTGCTGCCTACACAATCCAGAGAACACCCGCAGCAGCCTATAGCTTCTGTCTTTCTTTTCTACTCCTGGTCTACGCTTGTTATCCCAGAGCCAGAGCTAAGTCTTCTCTCCCACGATTACTGTCCCCATCCCTCTTATTCTCAAATCCCACCTATGAGCCACAGCCCTTGCCAACAGTCCAGACCTGGGCACAGGGAGCCCACAAAAGGCCAGTCAGCTAAGCTAGGCTGCCTCTAGGGGTTCAGTCTGGGAAAATGGGAGAAATCCCTCCTGGCTCCAGGCTGGACATAGGTCCCCCTGAGCTCCTCTTCCAGAGATCAGGCCCTCCCACTGCTGCCTGCCCAAACAGGGCCACTATGTGTCCCTGCTGATCACTTTGTCCCTACTCTTTAACCTTTCAAGGGCTACCCTTATATCCATTTCGCTTTTCAAGCTACTCTAAAAAAGAAATCTGCTCCAAAAAGTTAATAGGATTCTTCCTCTTGACCAAAACCTGCCTGCATTTTGGCAGGGCCTTTTGGGAACCAGGCATACAAGTAGGGTTGCCAGATAAAATACAGTTTGCCCAATTAAATTTGAATTTCAGATAAACAACAAAATCCATTTTTTTTGGTGTAAGTATAACCTATACAATATTTGGGGCAGGGGTGCCTGAGTGGCTCAGCTGGTTAAGCATCTACTTTCGGCTTGGATCATGATCCCAGGGTCCTGGGATTCAGTTCCTTGTTGGGCTCCCTGCTCAGTGGGGAGTCTGCTTCTCCCTCTCCCTCTGCCTGCCCCTCCCCCTGCTTGTGCTCTCTGTCAAATCAATAAATAAAATCTTTTTTAAAAATAAAATATTTGGGGCATACTTGCACTTTCAAAATTATCTGTTGCTTATCTAAAATCCAAACTTAATTTGGTGGCCTATACTTAGTTTGCTAAATCTAACAATGCTTCCTTTAACACAACCCATGGATATCTGGTCTGGCTCAGCCTCTCTGCCTGACAGCGCCTCTTACCACAAACTTCTCATCTACTGCCCTCATGCTATTCCTCAATTGCCCTGTGTCTTTTTTTTTAATAAAGATTTTATTTATTTATTCATGAGAGACAGAGAGGCAGAGACACAGGCAGAGGGAGAAGCAGGCTCACACAAGGCACCCGATGTGGGACTTGATCCCAGGACCCCGGGATCACGCCCTGAGCCAAAGGCAGATGCCCAACCACAGAGCCATCCAGGCGTCCCGCCCTGTGTCTTTCCTTTATGCTTCTGCAGCTGCTCAGCGTAACATTTCACAGGGTCTTCAGGGCTAGCCTAAAGTCACACACACCACCACCACCACCACCACCACCACCACCACCCCCCACCACCACCCCCACCACCACCACCACCCCCCCCTCCCGTCCCTGACCACCCTTGATGTCTCTGCTCTCCTGTGCTCTATGCGGAATCCCACATTGGTACTTGACTCCCTGGGGCTACCTCAAATGTGATTGGGACAAATGCTTCCTGAGAACCAACCACACCTCATGTATCCAGAGACTCACCAACTGGCCTAGAACCTGGCACAAGTTCAGAACAGCTACTATTTATTGAGGCCTGATCATGTACCAGGAGCTGGGCTAACTGCTGTGCGTGCATCTCATTTTATCCTCGCACTGGCCTTTGCTAAAGGAGGAGGGGACAGATTTGGAGAAGCTAAGCACCTTGCCCCCAGGTTCATGCAGCTATTCAGTGGCAGGGCAGAGACACGAAGCTAGGCAGCCTGATTTCAAGTCCATTCTCCATTATCCTCTCCTACCAAATCAATGGAGAAATGTATTTATTGTAAAGATTTTAAGTAATCTCTATACCCAACGTGGGGCTGGAATCCATAACCCCTAGATCAAGAGTTGCATGCTGCACTGACTGAGCCAGCCAGGCACTCTTCAATGGAGAAATTTATTATGGACTAAATATTTTAGCCCAAAGGAGCAATTCTGGCAGAACTTTAAGCGACAGCTTGGGAAGCTTATCAGGGATGTTTCTGGAGACTATGCCCCACCCCCTCTGCCAAATAATACAACCATCATA